GTCTTGGGTGCACCATTTACATTAAATCGGACGAAAATATATATGGGAGCTATATCTTAATCCGAAGCGATTTCCACAAGATTTAACACACATCATTCTAGACTTAATTCAGGACGTTATGCTAAACTTCGTGCAAATCGAAAATTATATAGAGACTTTGGTACACCATTAACCATAATTCGGACGAAGATATATTTCGGAGCTATATCTAAATCTGAACCGGGTTTCACGAAACACAACACACATCATTCTAAACGCAATTTAGTACGCTATGCCAAATATCGTGCAAATTGAAAGATATATGGGGACTTTGATTGCTCTATTTCCATAAAATCGGATGAAAATATATTTGGGAGCTATATCTAAATCTGAACCGGTTTTCACGAAACCGATATGCCAAATTTCGTGTAAATCGAATGATATATAGGGACTTTGGTGCACCATTTACTTTAAATCGGTAGAAAATATATATGAGAGCTATATCTAAATCTGAACCGATTTTTTTCACAATTTCAATAGGGTTCGTCCTTGGGCCAAATAGATGAGCTGTGCCAAATTTCATCCAATTCGAGGGCTATATCAAAACGTACACCGATATATATTATCCTATCAATGTATACACTCCACCTTATAGAATATCTTTATACGATTTTCTGTATAGGTACCCTATTTATCCCTCCGGTGTGTTCTATACTTTGTAGACCCACTTCATGGAGGAAGTTATAAAAATTGGTCCATTGGAAGTTAATTTAATAAGTCATTTGATATCTTTAGAAGGTCCAATAAAAACCCGTTTCAAGACTTTGGACCCAACAATATTATTTTGGAGGTAGGTCTCCACATTTAGAATATGTCTTCTAGAAGACTTCAACATTTAGAAGAGATCTCCCAAAAGACTTCGGAGATATCTAATAGAATTATATCTAATCAATTTCTTGGTGAATTTTTCTTTCTATCCCCTAATGGACACTTGATTTTTTCAATTTTCCAATTTTCCCACTTTTTTGTGAAATGGTCACAAACTAATGATGCGAACAATTAACACCTCATATAGGTTATAGGGTATTCTTCCAGCTCATAATATTTACACTCACACACACCCAATCAGACAAGCAACCACTTCTCACATGATCGTCGTCGTCGTCATCATGGCACTCAACTGAATAGGGGGGCTTAACTCTATTCGCTAAAGCATTTTATACGTAATCATTTCTAAATTTATTCAAAAAATTATTATTTTTTGTTTAGCAGAATGAAAGATAAGTTGTTAGTTTCATTCATTGAAAATGTTGTTGTTATTGTTTTCTTTTTTCTAAGATAACCTATTTTTATTTTTCATCTTTTGGGTTTATCTTCATCGAAATTCTTGGCCACCTTTTCTCTTGGCTTATCTTAGTATACGTTTTTTTCTTTATGCGTAAATTTAATTGTCTGTAGATGTATTTTTTGGGATTTTGTCAAAAAATGTACATTTGTTTATATTGTATAAAAAATGTGGTGTATGTATGTTTGTGTGATTTTCAGACAATTTTTTTGGCAATAGAAGTGTTGTGCACCCTATATCTTCTTGCGTCACTTATAAATGCGAAAAATAATTTAAACACAATAAATTGTGGACTTTGTAATACAAATATTCAAGTGGAGAAAAATAACCTCCTTCGATGCAACTCTCACTACTAATAAATCCTTTGAGAATTTTTTAGCAAATTCACTATGACATTTTTGGCATTTCAAATATAAGTCCATGATACCCGCCATGCGTTTTCGGATTACTTTCAAAGCCATAATCATGGGCATTCAAAATACGAAAATCGGGTCTTCTAGAAGAAAATGAAATACCGAACGGCACACACTTAGGTTGGACTCGTATAACTCCCATGTTCGAGTAGATACATCACTATAATTAGCATAAATTTAAAGGTTAACCACTGCTACTGAATATGTCAACTTCTCCGGTGTATGTCCTTCGGGAGTAAATATATATGCAAAAGAATGTCAATTTTGTCATCTGGTTCCATTTGGACCGCTAAATATTAACCGATTATCATAAAAAGAGCCATTCTTGCTCCTTGGTCAGATCCGTTTAGCCTCTAAAGCGCCGAGAAAAACAGACAACAAGAAAGTATTTGGTTAATTTTATCCCCGAAATATAATTTTAACGGATAACTACCAATATTGGCCTACTTTAGCCAGAACCGGTCCTTGATGCAAAATTTCGTGACGATTGGTCCATAACTGTGTCCTGTAGCGTGTTTTTCAAATTATAATGGATAGAAGGACGGAACGTGCCCAAAATACAATGCATCTTATAATGTTCGAAAAAAAACAACTTAAAAAAAATCTGACTTTTCATACGACTTGAAAAAATTCCATACAAACGATTCCAGGCTTCCGTTGGTGCTTGAAAAAAAAAAACAAATTCAAATTGATGCCTCCCCTGTGGGTCCTCTTGTGAGCATAATGCTTCCACAAATCATTTACGTTTTACTCAATTGGTTTCGTTAATTATTTCATTGTTATTATTTCAGCTTAGTCTACTATAGCCTGTCCTAGGTGATGGGACTGGGCCATCTACTGTAGTCTAGAAACAATGCCTTCTTCTAATCTAATTTTGTGTAGTACTCGTCCTTTGCATGTTTATTTTTCCTTTTCCTTTAGGTGGCACAATTTCCAACCACTTAAATTCGCATTTTTTTTTTTTAAATTCACGCTTTGTGGGTCTCGATATTATTTCATTGTTTTTATTTCCAGCTAAGACTTTTGTAGCCTGTCCTGGGTGATGCGACTGCCATCTGTCGAATTCTAGACGCAATGTCTTCTTCAAATCTTGTATAGTCCTTGTTTCTTGCTTATTTATATTGCAATTTTTTCTCGGTGGCGCTATTTCTTGCCATTTACATTTTGGTGTTGTTAAAAATACACTTGAAAAAAAGTAATTTCCTTAATTGTTTTGGGAATTGAAAACCTATTTGTTTAAATTCGCCTATATATTGGGCCTTCACAAAATGTTTTTAAAAAATATTCACATTTTAAGAGACACAGGGCATCCAAAAAGGATCTTTGTCTTATTCAATTGGTTTCGTTAACTTTTTCATTGTTTTTATTTTAGTTAAGTCTACTGCAGCCTGTCCTAAATAATTTTTTTGTAGTTGCTTAGTTTTATTGTCATTTCCTCAGGGTAGCATTATTGTCATTTGCTGCCACTTTCACTTTCATATTGTTAAAAGTAATATATTTTTTAGGATGTACACTTGAAAACATAATTTTCTTAAAAATCGATGCTTGGGAATTGAATATATATATACATTTGAAATCGCATAGGGCTTCCACAAATCCTATGCGACTTACTCAATTGATTTGTAATATTATTTAATTATTTTTATTTCTTCTATGTCCCTCCCTAGCCTCTCCTAGATGATGGAACTGCCATCTATTGTAGTCTAGAAACAATGCCAGGTTGAATTTTATGCAGTCCTTGTTTCTTGCTTATTTATATTGTCATTTCCTCTGGGTGGCGCTATTTTTTATAATATATTTTCTTTCTTCTTCAATAATCAATGCCTAGGACCTTGAAAAATATTTTGTTTTTTTTTAATTCGCATTTTTTTAAAGTTCACCCTTTCGATAAAATAGTTAAAAAAATTCAAATTTCTAGGGGAAACTCAACTGGTTTTGTTAATTATTTCTTTGTTTTTATTCCAGCTAAGCCTGCTGTAGCCTCTCCTGAGTGATGAGACTGCCATCTATCGTAGTCCAGAAACTATGCATCCTTGAATTTTGTGTAGTTTTTTTATTTATATTGCCATTTCTTCTGGGAGGCGCTTTTTCTTTTAAAAATTCACGCTTTAAATAAATAAAATATTTTTTTCTAAAATATATTCCACAAAAATCCACATTTCAAGGGGGAAAATATTCATTAAATTTTTACTTTCTATAATATCAGTATCTTATATGTATAACCAATAGATATATGTATATCTCTCATATAGGAATTATCCACCATTATTTATATTTATGGATAATGCGTCTTTATGGGAAAAAGGCAAAATGTTTTTTTTTTTAGAATTTTGAGTGACATTCAAAAATAATACTAAAAAAAATATTTTCAAAAAATTGTGTGTACATCCTCTTGTCAGTTGCATGTCATTCACAAAAATTGACGTAGATGAATTGTTGACAGCCGATAGATATATTGAGTGGTGACCTCTATTTGGACTTTTCCGTATATGAGAACAGTTTTGAGGCACACAAAACAATTTAATAAATATGGTGTGAGGTAAAAGTAAAATGAGGATATATATATATATATATATATATATGTTTGTTTTTTACTGTTCTTGTTAGAATATGCCTTTCTCAAATGTGTTAAATAATAAATTATATTATTTAGCATTTGCCACTTGGCATCGATTACAAAATTCTAAATAGAAAATAAAAAGAAAAAGTGCAATTATATACAACAGTAATTAAAATTGGCAATGAATATATCAACATAATACAATAATTTGTGTAATTACAGGCGCTTTATATTATAAATTGTGTAATTAATTTTGTAAAAATTAATTAAATTGGCAATTATAATCTATGACAATTATATGGAACAGATATTGGATAAGATTATTTTGAAACACAGTCATAACAAAAATGAATCTAAATACTGAATCAGAAGTGGGAATTTTTCAAAATCTATAGGTTTTATATATTACCTGAAGTTTCTAAAACTTTATTTTTTATTAATTATATTTTTTTTATTAATTTTATTTTTATTCTCTTTTCAGATAAAAAATCTCCCTGATAATGTAAAAAAATCTAAAAAAAATTAAATATTTTTTGTGCAATTTCTTTCGTTTTCTTTCAGTGATAATTTAAAAATAAAAATAATCATAGCAAAATAAAATTCATAATAAATTTGAAATAATTAAAAAAATTCCAATTTCCAAAGGAAAAAAAAAAAATAAAAAAAGAAAACAAAATAATTGTGAAGTGTAACGAAACAAACGATGGCCACACTGTGTATTATACCCGATAATACACACTTCAGCAGTAAAAGCGAAAAGGACATTGTCACCATCAATTCCAATTCCTGTGCCCTTGCTGCCAACATCAACACCTCTGGCAGCAGTAGCGCCAGCACCTCGAGCAGCAGCAGTGAACCACCCAAAGTCAGCAAATTCTTTAGCAACAGCTCCAATTACCAGAGTAAAATCCAACAGCTAATCAGTTTCAGTTTCACCTCATCGAATTTTATTTTTATCACCTTTATACTGAGCATCAGTAAGCTATGTACCACCGCTGCCGCTGATCCTGCGCAAGCTGGGGCTGCCCATCAACCAGCGCCCTCCGCTGGCGCCCCACCCGGTTTCCTGATGAACAATTTCAGTAGTTCAGCGATATTGGAAAAATTAAATTCATTTCGTACGAGTACATTGGGACCGCCCACGAATGCGGTTAAAGGTAAAGATGCCGGACCAACGGTTCTGCGCAGTAATAAAACCAATAGAGGTAGTTTGAACGTAACATCAACGCCGTCGTCGTCCGTAATTTCTTCGTCCAAATCATCATCAGCATCATCGACAACATCATCACCCTTAGATTTGAATTTCAATTCATCCGAATCATCATCTTTGTTGAATATTTTTGGTAGTAATGGTGGCATCATAGATGGCGGTAGTCCGTCCATATTATTTTTGAATATATCGGGAAAAGTTGGTACACCATTGGGTATAGGTAAGTTAAATATCTTTAATCATCTTTTGAAAATCATGTAGAAAAGTAGTATTTGGTATTTAATTTGGAAAATATATGTATGTTTGTCTATTTGAATTAAGGAATGATGTGCCTCACCGCCACATTGTCAATGGTACTCCCAAGGATAAAATCGGGGCCTTGATGTAGTTTATGTGTTATTCTCTGAATGTAGAATTATTGTCCGCCATCCGCTCTAAGTTTTGAACACAAATTAAGTACTTTTTAATTTGATTTATATTCAGTGGCTCATTATATGTTACTTTAAATTGAGATTATAGAGTTTCATCGCCATATTTCCAACGGTACTCCGGGGGTCAAAATGGGGCACTAGGCATAATTTATACCTTAAACCCTTAATAAAATATTGTTGCCTACTTTCCGCTCTAATCGCCAATATTAAGGATCTCTTAAACCAATTTTTTTTAATATTTCAGGTATCTCTCTTGTATATGTCCTTGTCTTCAGTTATGCCATCCGCGTACTCCCGAGATAAAAATGAGGGACTAGGTGTAAATTATATCCAAATTTTTAAATGCAGAATTATTGTGTAGGTTCCGCGCTAATTGCAAACCCCAAATTCCCCTCGTTTAAGCAGCTCTGAATTCAAATTATCTTCAGTAATTCCTGAAGCCTTAATGTTTTAATCAAGGCTGCAGAACTTCTCCGCCACATGGTCATTGTTTATCCCGAGGACAAAACGAGGGCCTTGGGGTAATTTATGTCCAATTTCGCGAATGCAGAATTATTGCCCACCTTCGGCTCTACTGTTATAACTCAAATTCCCTCGATTAAGTAACTTCTAAACCAATCTCCCTTCACTACTTCCGTGTCTCTTTATATACCACCTCCTTTTCATTATTTATCCCGAGGCCAAAACGAGGACCTTAAAGTAATTTATATCTAAATTTCTGAAATCAGTAGTATTGTCTACCTTCCGCTCTAAGTTCTAAACCCAAATTTCCTTACATTTAAATTTCCTAATACATTTTATCTTCACTGCTTCCCTGTCTCTTTATAGATTACTTGTAATAAAAGAGCACCGCTACATTTTCATTGTTTATCCTGAGGTAAAAATGAGGACCTTGATGTAATATATTTCCAAATTTCTGAATGCAGAATCATTGTCTATCTTCCGCTCAACGTTAATAACCCAAATTTCCATCGATTAAGTAACTTTTAATCCAAATTCTCTTAACTGTTTCCGTGTCCCTTTATAAATTACTAGTAATTAAAGAAAGACGAGCTTCATCGTCACATTTTCATGGTTTATCCAGAGGACAAAATAAGGACCTTGGTGTAATTTATTACCAAATTTTTGAATGCAGAATTATTGTCTACGTTTCACTCTGAGCTAAAAACCCAAATTTCCCACGATTAATTAGCTCATAATGCAATTTTTCTTCAGTGCTCCCTGAAGCTTAGATGTGAATTATAATCAAGGTTACAGAACTTCTACGTAACATTTTCATTGTTTATCCCGCGGATGAAATAAGAACCTTGGTGTAATTTGTTTCCAAATTTGTGTATGCAAAATTATTGCCTACCATCCGCTCTAAGTTAAAAGCCCAAATTCTCCTCGATTATGTAGCTCTTAATACAAATTATCTTCAGTGCTCTCTGAAGCTTAGATGTTAAATGTAATAAAAGTTACGAAGCATCACCGCAATACTGCCAATGGCTGTCTTGAGGTCAAAATGAGGACCTAAGTGTAATTTTTAATTAAATTCCTGAATGCAGAATTATTGTCTACCTTCCGTTCTAAATTCAGAACCAAAATTCACCTCGTTTAAGTAGCTCATAATGAAATTTTTCTTCAATGCTCCCTGTTTATCCCGAGGACGAAATAAGAACCTTGGTGTAACTTATTTCCAAATTTTTGTATGCAACAGTATTGCCTACCGTCCGCTCTAAATTAAAAGCCCAAATTCTCCTCTATTAAGTACCTGTTAATACAAATTATCTTCAGTGCTCCCCGAAGCATAGATGTTACATATAATAAAGGTTACAAAGCATCATCGCCATACTGCCAATGATTGTCTTGAGGTCAAAATGAGGGACGAAGTGTAATTTTTAACTAAATTCCTGAATGCAGAATTATTGTGTACCTTCCGATATAAGTTAAAACTCGAATTCCGCTCCATTAAGTAGCTTTTAATGGAAATTTCTTTAGTGCTTCCCGAAGCTTAGATGATAATTTTAATCAAGGTTACTGGACTTCCCCGCCACATTTTCTTCGTTTATCCCGAGGAAAAAATGAGGACCTTGGTGTAATTTATTTCCACATTTTCAATGGAAAATTATTGTCTACCTTCCGCTTTAAGTTAAAACCCTAAATTCCCGTCGAATAAGTAGTACTTAATTCAATTTTTCATCGATGATTCCTGAATGCAAAATGATTAACCACCTTATGCTCTACGTTCAAACCCCGAATTCCTCCCGATTATGTAACTCTTAATAAAATTTCTCTTCAGTGCTTCCATTCCGTTTATGTCTATTCTCTCTTAAGTCGCTCTTCACATGTCCTTGTCCTATAATTTCCTCATGTATTTTCATTTATTTATTTTTTCTTTCATTATTTTTTATTTTCCATTCCGTCTTTTTTTAAATATCATTACTTGTTTTGTCTTCATTTTCAAACCGTGTGTCTGGTTTAACAAGTTTTTAGTTTTGGTATTTTTTAAAGCATTTGTAATACCTGTTGTTGTAGTTGGTTACTATTTTTGTATGTGAAAGATTTCTTAATAGTTTAAAAATAACTTTTAATGCCATAAAAAGCAACAACAACAAATTCCATGAAGAGGAAAACTCATCTCGGCTACCATGTTTGGTGTGGTTGGAATTTTCTTTAAATTCCAAACATTCGAATTGAATTCGAATGTGTGGCGTGATGAGATGATGGAAACTGGTTATGCAGAAGTTGCCAAACTTTTCGGAATAAACGACTTCGGGCTCGATTTTTAAAGAACGGATTTTTGAGGAATATTTTTTCAAGGCTACTAGAAGAGGTAGAAGAATATTTTTTTTCTACATAAAAATTATCGATAGTATGATTTTTCTATAAAAAAATTATAGATAATATGATTTTTCTATAGAAAAATTATTATTTCTATAGAAAAGTTATCGATAGTATGATTTTCCTATAGAAAAACTATCGGTAGTATGATTTTTCTATAGAAAAATTATCGATAGTATGATTCTTCCATAGAAAAATTATCGATAGTACGATTTTTCTATAGAAAAATTATCGATAGTATGATTTTTCTATAGAAAAATTATCGATAGTTCGATTTTTCTATAGAAAAATTATCGATAGTACGATTTTTCTATAGAAAAATTATCAATAGTTCGATTTTTCTATAGAAAAATTATCCATAGTACGATTTTTCTATAGAAAAATTGTCGATAGTACGATTTTCTTATAGAAAAATTATCGATAGTATAATTTTGCTATAGAAAATTATCGATAGTATGATTTTTCTATAGAAAAGTTATCGACAATACGATTTTTCTATAGAAAAAATATCGATAGTATGATTTTTCTATAGAAAAATTATCGATAGTATGATTTTTCTATAGAAAAAAAATCGATATTATGATTTTTCTATAGAAAAATTATCGATAGTATGCATTTTCTAAAAAAAAATTATCGATAGTATGATTTTTCTATCGATAATTTTTCTATAGAAAAATTATCGATAGTACGATTTTTCTATAGAAAAAATATCGATAGTATGATTTTTCTATAGAAAAATTATCGATAGTATGATTTTTCTATAGAAAAAAAATCGATATTATGATTTTTCTATAGAAAAATTATCGATAGTATGCATTTTCTAAAAAAAAATTATCGATAGTATGATTTTTCTATAGAAAAATTATCGATAGTTCGATTTTTCTATAGAAAAATTGTCGATAGTTCAATTTTTCTAAAGAAAAATTATCAATAGTTCGATTTTTCTATAAAAAATTATCGATAGTTCGATTTTTCTTTAGAAAAATTGTCGATAGTACGATTTTCTTATAGAAAAATTATCGATAGTATGATTTTTCTATAGAAAAATTATCGATAATATGATTTTCCTATAGAAAAATTATCGATTGTACGAATTTTTTACAGAAAATTATCGAGGGTTCGATTTTTCTATAGAAAATTTATCGATAGTACGATTTTTCTATGGAAAAATTATCGATAGTTCAATTTTTCTATAGAAAAATTATCGATAGTACGATTTTTCTATAGAAAAATTATCGATAGTACGATTTTTCTATAGAAAAATTATCGATAGTACGATTTTTCTATAGAAAAATTATCGATAGTACGATTTTTCTATAGAAAAATTATCGATAGTACGATTTTTCTATAGAAAAATTATCGATATTACGATTTTTCTATAGAAAAATTATCGATATTATGATTTTTCTATAGAAAAATTGTCGATATTACGATTTTTCTATAGAAAAATTGTCGATAGTACGATTTTTCTATAGAAAAATGGTGCGATTTTCCTATAGAAAAATTATCGATATTGCAATTTTTCTAACGAATCACTATTGACTGTATGATTCTATAGAAAAATTAGTTATA